CAATCTAGCACACATTTTTTATAAAAACTCTCAGCAAAGTGGGACTAGAGGTATCATACCTCGACATACTAAAGCCCATATATGAAAAACCTACCTCAAACATACTCATTGGGCAAAAAGTAAAAGTGTTTCTCTTAAGATCAGAAAAAAGACAAGAATGTCTGCTTTCACCACCCTCATTCAAGTTATTACTGGAAGTTTTAGCCACAGTGGTCAGACAACAAGAAGAGAGAAAAGGCATCCAAATTGGAAAGGAGAAAGTAAAAGTGTAATTTTTCTCAGATGACATGATATTGTACATAGTAAACCCTAAAGACTCCACTGAAAAACTAATAGATCTAATAAATAAATTTGTCAAAGTAGCAGGGTACAAAATTAATATTCAGATATCAGTGGCATTTTTATACACCAATAATGAACTATCAGAACAGAAACTAAGAAAACAACTCCATTTACTACTGCAACAAAAAAATAACAAGATACCTAAGAATAAACTTAATCAAGGAGGTAAAAGACGTGTACCTACAGGACACTAAAAAAGAAATAGAAGAAGATCCAAATGAGTGGAAGCATATACCTGGTTGATGGATAGGAAGAATTAACACTACCCAAAGCAATCTATAGATTCAATGCAATCCTTATTAAAATACTAATGGCATATTTCACAGGTCTAGAATAAATACTCCACAGATATATGGAACCCAAAACAAACAAACAAACAAACAAAAATCCAAATAGCCTCAGCAATCTTGAGAAAAAAGAACAAATTTGGAGGGTTCATAATACTACATATCAAATTATACTACAAAGACATTGTAATCAAAATAGTGTGGTACTGGCACAAGAACAGGCATATAGATCAGTGGAACAGAAAGACAAAAGAAACCAGACCACCAACTTCCACCATACACAAGAATAAACTCAAAATGGATTAAAGATTTAACTGTAAGTCATGAAACCATAAAAATCCTAGAAGAAGACATGGGCAGCAAAATGTCAGACATCTCTTGTAGCAGAATTTTCACTGATACATCTCCTAGGGCAGGAGAAACAAAGGAAAAAATAAACAAATGGAACTACACTAAACTAAAGAGCTTCTGCACAGCAAAAGAAACCAGCATGAAAATGAAAAGGAACCCCACGTTATGGGAGAACATATTTGCCAATGATACATCTGATAAGGGTTTAATTTCCAAAGTATACAAAGAACCCATACAACTCAACAAAAGAAAAAGAAACAACCCAATTAAAAAACAGGCAAAGGATTTGAATAGACACTTCCCCAAAGAGGACATATAGATGGCCAAGAGACATATGAAAAAATGCTCAAGGTCGCTAATCATTGGAAAGATGCAAATTGAAACCACAATGAAGTATCAGCTCACACCTGCCAGAATGGCTACTATTAATTAATTAACAATCAACAAGTGNGCTAATCATTGGAAAGATGCAAATTGAAACCACAATGAAGTATCACCTCACACCTGCCAGAATGGCTACTATTAATTAATTAACAATCAACAAGTGCTGGTGAGGCTGTGGAGTAAAAGGAACCCTAGTGCACTGCTGGTGGGAATGCAGACTGGTGCAGCCACAATGGAAAACAGTGTAGAATTTCCTCAAAAATTAAAAATGGAACTGCCTTATGGCCCAGTGATCCCACTCCTAGGAGTATATCTTAAAAATCCTGAAACACCAATCAGAAAGAATATAAGCACCCCTATCTTTATCGCAAAGTTATTTCCAATATTCAAGACCTGGAAACAGCCCAAGTGCCCATCAGTAGATGAGTGGATAAAAAAAGCTGTGAGACATTTACACAATGGAATAATACGCAGCTGTAAAGAGGAAGGAAATCTTACCTTTTGTGACAGTATGGATGGATCTGGAGAGTATAACGCTAAGCGAAATAAGCCAGTCAGAGAAAGACAAATGCCATATGATCTCACTAATATGTGAAATCTAATGAACAAAATAAAGTGACAAAGAAAATAGAAACAGAGGCCTGGATGCATGGAACAGACTGACAGCTGTCAGAGGGGAGGTGGGTGAGGGGACTGGATGAAAGAAAGTGAAAGGATTAGCCAAAAGACATATATACGTAACATACAGTCACAGACAACAATGTGAGGTAGCCAGAAGGAAAGGGGGATGGAGGTAGGTAGGAGGTGGGCAAAGTGAGGGGGGAGAATGGGGATGGAAAGAGACTTTGCTCAGGGCAATAAGCACATGATGTGGTGTACAGAGTTGTACACTTGAAACCTGTGTGGTTTTGTAAACCAATGTCACCCCAACAAATTCAATTAAAAGAAAGCATAAGGAAAAGGTAGAACAATTCCTTCTCCTCAGCACTTAATGAATTGTGTTGAATTGACAAAGAAATAAATAAATAAAATATAAAAATTGTCAACTGCATAAAATGGAAATTTAAATTTTGTAATCTAATTTTTATCTATTAGTATAACTGGTAACACTTGCAAGAATGTATTACTGGGATGTTAAGAAATATAGAAACTATATTATTTGCTGCAATAAAATAAAATAAAATATTTAATAAAGTGTGAACATAAAAATATATATACCCATGCCTGGGATGGAAGATGCTGGCAGGTCCAGGTGTGGCAGGGTGGGGGAGGGGGAGGTGGCATGGAATCTGTAACATTAAATGCACAATCAGAACCAAGAACCACTGATCTAGGCTACCATTAGCTATGATGGGGATCAGGAGAATAAAAAAGTAATTGTGTGCATGTGAGTATATGTGTGTGTGTGAAGTGAGGGTCTATGAGGTGGCAACAAAGGCACCTGAGAAGCCAGTTGGTTCACACTCATTTCATTTTGACCAAGTTTACTTAGCACCTAGTCTGTGGTAGCTGCAAGGCTAGGCTCCTGAAATACAAAGATGGCCATGACCTTAAGGAACATGGGTCAGACATAAGAAAGGCACAGCCTGGCCTTCATTGCACCATCCATTCACCATCCATCTATCCATCTGCCCATCTATTCACTTCTCCCTCCCTTCACCATCCATCCGTCCATCCATCCATCCATCCATCCATCCATCCATCCATCCATCCATCCCTCCATCCATCCATCCATCCCTCCATCCCTCCATCCCTCCATCTTCCTTCCTTCCTTCCTTCCTTCCTTCCTTCCTTCCTTCCTTCCTTCCTTCCTTCCTTCCTTCCTTCCACATCCATTCATTCATCCTTCCATCCCTCCACAATCCATGAATCTACCCACCCACCATCCATCCCTCCAATATCCATCCACCTCCACAATTCATCCACTTCCATCTATCCATCTACCATCCAACCCTCTAGCCATTACCAAGCAAGGCAGCACTGCCCTCAAAGCCGTATCCTCTTCTTTGACCTCACTGTCTCTCCAAAGTTATCATTTTCTCTTGAAACTTCTGTCACAAAGGCCTTCTGTTCTGTTTGTCCCATCCTGGTCTGGGCTCTGCCCTACTAAACCCACATGCCTTTGACTCAATGCCAATCCCTGGGTTGGAAGTGAGACATTTAATTGCCATGATGTTTCCAGGGAGCCAGATGTTGGGTGCTGCTGCATTACTAACCAAGATGTTTGGTTTTATTTTCTCTCTCTAGTTGATCCCAATTGTAGTGGTGGTGGTGAGGGCAATCCCCAGGTTTGGACCCAAGTAGACCTGGATTCAAATCCTGGTTTTGCCAATTTCTGCTTAATTTTAGGCAAGTTCTTTGACCTGGACCCAGTGAAACCTAAGTTTACTTATCTGGAAACACAGTATCTGGTTCCCAGGTTAAAATAGATGATTCTGTGTAGACAGCACTACCCCTAGGAGACAGACACGGAGCAGAGGCTGTTGAGTCAGGCCCTTCCTACTCCCACTTTCACTTTCAGAGACATATGCATATGGTCTTTCTGACAGGAGGGGATTCCCTGCAGAGCACGACTGTAAGGCTGTGCAATTGTGTGACTCTTTGGGTGTGTGTGTGTGCAGTTCTTTCAAAATGTGCAAAGGAGGAAGCCCCTGGCCCAACCTGGTATGTGGCCTCCTGCACTTCCCTTTCAGAAGTCTGACCAAGTGGGGCACCCTTCTAGAGGGGAGCAGCTATGCAATTCAGCAAATGTTGCCATTGAAACTGTGTGGGTTGTGGTTCTCCACCCACGAGATTCCTGAATGTGCCTTCCTGGGGCCAGGGTTCTGCCCTGGGGGCCTCAGCTCCTGGTAGGGGATCGGGAGGTCCTAGAGCTCCTCTGGGCATTCTAAGGCTCTGTCAGGCTGCAGAATGGGGATTTAGGGTTTTCTGTTTTTCCATGATGGTGAGAATCCCTTAAAGTGTCCAGGTACAGATGAAAGGTCCCTCCACTAGCCTTGGGTGGGGCTGTGGCTCCATATTTTTAACAAGCACCCAGGGGTCTCAAGATTCACTGAGCTTCACAAACCCTGCAGCAATACAGCCTCAAGGAGGAGGCACAGGACTGCTCTCTGCCACCTATCGGCAGGACTCCTGGGCCAAGCATTTGACCTTCTTACTCCTCAGGCTCTGCAGCTGCAAATGGGGGATCATGAGTGTGCTACCTCCGGGGTGGTTGTGACGGATGAACATGGATGGGGGACACATGCAAAGGACCAGCATGGGCATGGGTATGGTGGCCACCATTACTGCAGAGTCCTGCCATCTAGGTGACAGCCTGCACACTGTTTCCCCTTGAGGTGGCCAGAGAGGGGAGAAGACGTGGGTGGGATGGGCATTCCCATTGAAGACCTCCACTTTGGGCAGAAACACAGCTATGTCTGGTGTCTGGAGTCTTCCCAGCTGTAATATTTATACCATGTGATTGTGCCTTGAGGATTCCCTCTAAGACCGAGAAATGATCAACAGCCTTTGGACAGAGGAGCTCAGCTGAGCTGCTGCCTAACCCAGGGCCCCACGAGGAAAGCAGTGAGGGTCACACTTGCAGCCCAGCCATCGGAGGAGCTGCCCAGTGTCCTTAAGTTCTCCTAGACTTACGCTTTTGAGTAGTTCAGGACAAAGTCCACTCCTTTCTCACTATCAAACTGGATGTCACGAGGTAAATCCTTGTGGCATTTGGCATCGATGCTCAAGGGGAATCCAGGGTTCCATTCCATCCACCTGAGTATGCAAGAGAAGAAAACTGGGTTAAGTGCCTTTGGGTCAGGCACCTCAACATAAAGACTACCCACGTGGTCTGAGGGTGTGTCCGCCACCAGCTCATCATATTACAGGTGTCTTGTGAGGTACTGCCCCCCCGCCCAGGTCCTGTGACAGCCCACTGTGCTGTCCCTGAGCATTACAGTGGGAGGCCCGAGGCCCCCTAAACCCTTACAGAGACTGAGCTTATAGCAGAAGGAAAGCTGTGGTGGGCATGCATACTGTGTAAAAAGAATCAAAAAAGAAAACATCAGAATCCCTAAGTTACTGGAGTTAACACTGAACAGCAATGCCTCCCAAGTGCTCCACAGAACTGCCTTGCTGGTCCCATGTGGCTAAGGCTGCCCCCAGACCTGACCTGGGTGTCCAGTGTCCCACCAGCTGGGTCAGTGCACTCTGAACTGTGTGGTGGTCAGGAGTGGGGGGACAGGACAGTTGTTATGCCTGCACAGTAGGTGCACAGGCCACGGGTGGCTAAGGGAGTCTTCCCCTCCCAGCTCCCACCCAGCACAGAGAACTGCCAATAGCAGGTGCAAAGATTTTTGTAATCAAAATAGCTCCCCCTAAAAAGAGGCTATACACTCTATCCAGTCAAAGTTTTTAGATCCTGATGTTCTTAAAACTTAACCCGCAGCATTGGCCAATTATGTTTTGTTTTTTTAATTTTACTTTTCTTTTTGTTTATAGAAAACAAAAGACAAAACAAATCCTGTCCGTTTCTTTAGGGCAGGGAGAATGATCTTGTATTTGTTTAAAAACCAAAACTTATATTCTGAGATTTCAGCTTTTCCATTTGTATTCCTAATTCTCCTTCCTTTTAAATCTCTCTTATGAGAGGAAAGTAAAACACTGAAATTGTTGAACATTAAGAAGTCCCCTTTACTGCCACAAAAACCTCCCCAGTTTCTTGTGCTGTTGTTGGCCCAGGAAGCCTCTCATTAAACCACAGGTAAACAGGGACTGGGGGTAAGCACTCTCAGAGCAAACACAGTTTTGAAAAGCATTTTCTGTTGTATAGTGCCTTACATTTCTCAGTTTTCTGAATAAATCCTGGGGGGAGGGAGAAAGAAAAACGGCATACCTAGATATATACTGATTGAAATGTTGAAGAGAGAGAGAGAGAGAGAGTGTGTGTGTGTGTGTGTGTGTGTGTGTGTGTGAGAGAGAGAGAGAGAGAGAGAGAGAGAGAAAAGGAGAGAAAGGGAGAGAGAAAGATGGGGGTTGAGGAGGGATGAAGAAAGGGCTGAAGGGTGAGAGGGAAGAGAAAGATGCTCCTAGAAGCTCACAAGCTTCTGCGAGAAAAATAAATAAATCAAATTACCACTAGTTTCCTTGCTGGCCATACTAAAAATGAGAAGACAATGTTTATAGACTTTTTAAAAAATCATCATCTAAGCCATTTATATCAAGTCAAATAATTGGTGAGGGCAGGAGAATGGGGGGGTGGTGGTGGTGGCAAGCACATGCCCTTTCTAAAGAAATTAATTGAACAAGTTCAGACAGGCAAAAATGAAAGCAGGATGAACCAAGAAGTTCCTAAATATAGTAAAGAGTGTTCTTCTGAAAAAAAGAACAAGTTTAAATTTAAACAAACAAAAATATCAAAGGTATTTTCTCAAAATCAAGACCAGAGAGAATGTTCATTGTTACTACTATTATTTGTTTTGTGGATTTCAGCCAGGAAATTAAAAAAAAGTACCAGTGGTGTAAATAATGGAAAATAAGCTAAAATTTGAGGAGGGAAGATGGCAGCACTCGGACAAGCAGAGCGACCTTGCTTCCAGCCATTGACTGGATTTACAGCTAAAATACTGCATAGCCAGCTTGGAAAAACAAGAGAAATATACCTGAGTGGACATATTTTGAGTAAGGAGCCATGAAGAAACATCAGAGGGTCTGCACCTGTACAACAGCTCACACGACATGGTTGTGGCTGAGCCTCGCAGTTAACCAAAATGAGAGGAGAGTCCTCCCAAGGATGGGTCAACAACAATCTAGACACAATCACAACAGGAGATCCCAAAGAACTCACAAAAGGGACACCCACAGAAGGGACATACCTAGAGCAAATATCTCAGAAGTATAAGGAAAACACACCTCTGGGTCCCACTGGACATACACTACAAAATGCCACCCCACAAGCCTGGGAGACAGCAAATATATCTATACAGATAAAAACACTAAGTGTCACTAAAATGGGGAGACAAAGAAACAACCCACAAACTAAAGAAAAGGGAAAATCATCAGAAAAAGACCTTGATAAGATGGAGTTAAATTATCAGAAATAGAGTTCAGAGTAATGGTTATAAAGATGCTCAAGGAAATTAATGAGAACCACAAGACACTTAATGGGAAGGCCCAGGAACTCAGTGAAAGCTTCATCAGCATGATGAAGGAGCTAGATATGATAAATAAGAACCAGGCAGAAATGAAGAATATTATATCTGATACCAAGAATATGCTGGAAGGGGTTAAAAACAGGCTCAATGAAGCAGAGGATAGAATAAGTGACTTAGAAGATAAGGTAGAAAAAAACAACACTCAATCAGAGCAGCAAGAAGAAAAAACACTTGAAAAGCATGAGGACAGTTGAAGGGAATTTTGGGACAACATGAAGTGAAACAAGATTTGCATCATAAGGGTGGCAGAGGGGGAGAAAGTGAGCACGGAATAGAGAACCTGGTGGAGGAAATAATGACAGAGAACTTCCCTAGGCTGGCGAGGGAGAAAGCTGCTCTAGTTCAGGAAGCACAGAGGGCTCCAAACAAGAGGGACCCAAAGAGACCCACTGCAAGACACATCATAATTAAAATGGAGAATGTTAAGGACAAAGCGAGAATATTAAGGGCTGCAAGAGAGAGACAAGCAGTGACCTACAAGGGAACCCCCATAAGGTTGACAGCAGATTCCTCAACAGAAACACTTCAGGCCAGAAGGGAGTGGCATGAAGTTCTCCAAGTAATGAAAAGCAGGAACCTGCAACCAAGACTGCTTTATCCAGCAAGGCTATCATTTAAAAACGAAGGTGAAATAAAGAGCTTCCCAGACAAAAGAAGGCTAAAGGAATTCAGCACCACCAAACCAGCATTGCGAGAAATGCTAAGAGGACTGCTCTAAGAAAAAGAAGGAATAGTGAGAGAAAGGTACATCAGCATAAAGGGGGAAAATGGCATTAAATAAGTTGATATCAATAGTAACCTTAAATGTAAATGGAATAAATGCTCCAGTCAAAAGACATAGGGTGGGCTGAATTGATGAGAAAACAGGACCCATATATATGCTGTCTACAAGAGACCCACTGAGAGCAAAAGATTCACACAGGCAGAAAGTGAAGGGATGGAAAAAATTATTCCATGCAATGGAAACTTAAAAAAGCTGGAGTAGTAATACTTATTTCTGACAAAATAGACTTCAAAATAAAGACCATAACAAGAGACAAAGAAGGCCACTGCATAATACTAAAGAGATCGATCTAACAGGAGGAAATAACCCTTGTAAATATATATGCACCCAACATAGGAGCACTTAAGTATATAAAAAACTTCTTTTAAGGGGGAGATCGACAGCAGCACAATCACAGTGGGGGACTTGAACACCCCACTGTCAGCATTGGACAGATCATCAAGACAAAAAATCAACAGGAAAACAGACCTTAAATGACACACTAGATCTAATGGATTTAACTGACATTTACAGAACATTTCATTCCAAAGCAGCAGAATACACATTCTTCTCAAGTGCACATGGAACATTCTCAAAAACTGACCACATGTCAGGGCACAAAGGAAGTCACTACAAGTTCAAGAAGATTGAAATCATATCAAGCATCTTCTCAGATCACAATGACATGAAACTAGAAATCAACCACTATAAAAAGAACTCAAATATATTCAAACACATGGAGGCTACATAGCATGTTATTAAACAATGACTGGGTTACCAAGGAGATCAAGGAAGAAATCAAACACTTCCTGGAAAAATATGAAACTGAACAGACAACAACCCAAAATCCATGGGACACAATGAAAGCAGCCCTGAGAGGAATGTTCATAGCACTACAGGCCTATCTCAAGAAACAAGAAAAAGCCCCACTAAACCATCTAACACAACAACTGAAAGAATTAGAAAGAGAACAGCAAGAAAAGTCCCAGGGAAGTAGAAGGAAGGAAATAATAAAGATCACAGCAGAAATTAATGATATAAAGACAAAAAAAATCCAAAAAAAAATCAATGAAACCAAGAGCAGGTTCTTTGAAAAGAAAAAGATGATTGATGCACTTTTAGCCAGACTCACCAAGAAACAAAGAGAGAGGATCCAAGTAAATAAAATCAGAAATGGAAGAGATGCTATAACAACTGAACCAACAGAAATACAAAGGATCATAAGAAAACACTATGAACAACTATATGCCAACAAAATGGACAATTTGGGTGAAATGGAAAAATTCCTAGAAGCATACAATCTTCCAAAGCTGAATCAAGAAGAGGCAGAAAACCTGAATAGGCCAATAACAACTAATGAAATTGAAGCAGTAATCAAAAAACTCTCAGCAAACAAAAGTCCTGGACCAGATGGATTTACAAGCGAGTTTTACAAAACATTCAAAGAAGAATTAACACCTATTCTACTCAAACTACTCCAGAAAATTAAACAGGAGGGAAAACTCCCAAACTCTTTCTATGAGGCCAGCATCATCCTAATCCCAAAACCAGATAAAGATGCTACAAAGAAAGAAAATTATAGGCCAACATCCCTGATGAACATAGATGCTAAAAATCCTCAACAAAATACTAGCAAACCAGATCCAGCAATACATTAAAAAGATCATACACCACGACCAAGTGGGATTTATCCTGGGGATGCAAGGCTGGTATAATATTTGCAAATCAATAAGTGCGATACACCACATAAACAAAATGAAAGAAAAAAATCTTATGATCATATCAATAGATGCAGAAAA